TATTCTGAAATAAAATCCTTGGCTTCAGCATCAAATTTCCTTCACTAAGTCTCTTTGAGTAATACCAAAAGGATCTACAGTTCTTATTAGAAACCCTAATGCTCTGAAAATGATACAATAAAAAAACACATGCAGTGGCACAGCATTTTTTTCCCACAAAAAGAAACCTATTCTTTTTTCTTCTTTAGCCAGTGAAATACACACTTTTAAAGTTCTAAATGTTGGAGAAAGGCTGGCCCACTTCTTCTATGCTGGTTCTAAAGTACTCATTATTTCTTGATATCTCAGTTATTTTTTTCCAGTTTCACTCATGTTGGTTTTCTTTACTTGTCTTTTAAAGTCTAGTCCTTGGGTACATTCTCCAGTCATACATAAACAATTCTGAATAGTTCACTCAAATCCAGACATGTCTACATGTTCAAACTCCATACAATTTCTCTGTCTTTTTATGGTGCATTTATGCAATATATTGACTTGCAAAAATAATTGCCCCTCAGTGCTTTCACCAAAATGCTCTGCTCCTTTCTTTCAGCCTATACAGAAGTTTGTGTGATAATGCAGCAAACAGGGTCACTACAATGACCCTGACTAAGAAAAACTTCCTTCTTTTCCTTCTTTTGTTTTCATTTATCAGTAAAAGAAACTATTGATCCTACAAAGAAATTCACTCCCTTATTTCTAGGAGGTCACTGTGAAAAGTAAGCATAATGACAAATCTAAGACATACATATTATTTTACATAAAAATAATTTAAAAATCGCTGTATTCTTTGTAGAGAGAATCCAGGACTATGTGGTAGAGTAGCAAAAGGCATGATAGCCACAACATCTCATTTCTGATATCACTGTCACTCTACACTTGAAATCCACCTTACATCTAGACATTGTTTTCCTCAATCTTTTTATGCAAGCAGCAACATCAGCAAAAGCCAACCATGAAAATCTTACTGCAAATTTCTTTTTACAGCCCTAACTTCCTGATGTTTTTGAAATGCTAGTGTAATTGAGAAGGGGTTGGAGTATTCTGTGTACTTTTCACTGCAAAACACTAATATTTCCAAAGTCAGGATGAAGGAGTATTTATGACATAAAAGTTACAGCCAACTGCTGCTATCAGTATCTCAAAATATAATCAGACTGCATGAAATGGGGTCCATGGCCTCTGTGGTGCATAGTTTTATACCATTAAGAGTAGCTTAGAAATAACGGAAACTGATATTGATGGGATCTGTTCTTGATTGTGCACAACAAGGCAGCCAGGAATGCTTAAGGAAACTGAAACAATAATAAAAATAAATTAAAGATCTAGTTGCAGGCCGCAGATGACTCTTATTTTTCCTACCACAGTTTCAGTAAAGATTTGGCAGGTTAGTAAGCTTAGCATCTTTAATGGCCTTCTGAGTATGTATGCTATGATGAAGCAGGCTTAACTGAAAAATTGTTTCAGGCTGCTAAACTATATAAAATAATGTAATTGCATTGACTGAGAAGAATAAGCCAGAAATTGTCCTGCTGGATGCAAAAATTTAATAATTGTTACGAAGTGCTTATAGGCAAATACATTAACAAGTATGTTCAAAACAAAGCTGGACAGGCCAAAAGGACAGATGAATAAAATGTAGTATTTGTATTAGCCAGAGTGCAAATTTCCCATGCTGCATAATGTTACATAGAAAGAACTGAAGAAAAGACTGTATAATATGATCATTCTCAAGCCTCAGACATCAATGTTTAAAAACCATACACAAAGTAGTGTACACCTGCACAGATCACAATATGGAGAGCTAGACAACATGGATGGAGTTTCTTGCTTATACAATAGGATTACAGTACAAACTAAATGAAAAGACTGTTTCTCCATTTTACTACCAAAATAATAAAAAAAAAGAGTGTAATGAAATTAATTTTCAGTTTGAAACCACTTTGTTTGTAACTACACTTATACACCAAAACAAAACCAAAATGTGTTTTGTGCAATTTTTCTTAGAACTTTGGAGTCATTTCTAGCTTGATTCTTAAAGTAACATTTCAACATTCGTGTGGTCTACAACTTAATATAATTTCCTATATGAGGCATGTAAGTATTGTCAAGTTCAGTGCAACACTACTAATTTATTACATGGCTGTTTGTTTTGTTCAAGGGATCAGTTTGGAGTTTTATGCTATATATACATATGAATATGCGTTTAGATTTTTGTATTGCTTGTGTCCCAGATATACCTCATTGTTTTGCTTCTAATACTGCAGAACTTTAACCAAAAACAAGTTTTAAAACAGATGTTTTTAATTACAGCAAAACCCATACTATACTGCACTATAGCTATCAGAATTTTGCCTAACTTACTGAGGAAAAACCCACAGTGATTCAGTCCAAACCAAGGATTTCTTTTAGATTTTGCTGCGATCCATGGAAACAGAGTCTAGAGTGGCTACATCTACGTTGCATTGTTACATTATTTCTGAGAGCTGCCACAGTAGACTTCTACAAATCTCAAGGGACTTACAGACCACACAAGTCTTGTCCCAGCATAACAATACAAGCGGTACCTTCGGGACTGGCACATGCCCCACTGCTTCTTGTACTGTCTATCACATAGTTCAAACATTTGTTCTCCCCTAAGATATTTGCATCAGATAAAAGTCGCATTTAAGGGTGGCTGCTAGGCTCCTATCTTTAACCAGCACAGTTGCAAATACTGAGAAAGATGTGCTTATGTGTGGCTGCTTATTTCTGGCACTATTCCTGCTTCAAAATGCATTTCAACTTGAGCAAGAGAAAGAAGTCTGACAGTCAAGTGTTGTTGGCTTTGGATCTACCTCATTTAGGCCAAGAAATCTGCTAGGCTTAACACAGATGAGCAAATCTAGGAGACAGAAGGAATGCAGGACAATGTAGACTTCAAGATGGCAGCAGAGAAAAAAGAATCCTCTTCAGTAGGTTTAACCTGCTTTTCCAAGTTTACCGGGGAAAAAGCCTATTGGCAGGAGTTAAGTGAGCTTATATGGGCACTGCAGAGACCGATAGTTGCAATGTAGATATTGAAATTCTATTTGCATGGGTCAATCTGTGGATATCCACGCACAGGTTCTGTACTGACATTTATATTCTGGCCAGTCTGATGGAGACAAATTAATCAACTGAGAGAAGACAGGTGAATTCAAGTATCATGTCTTACAGAAATAACCTATTGTTCAGAACACTGCTGCAGCAGGGCTCAGCACCTGATGTCTCTGCTTCTGGATCCCTTCCAAATATCATTTGTGCTGTGGTTTGAAAACACATGCCAACATGACTGAGGGTTTCCACATATCTGGCATAACTTTACTATATATATAATAATAATATACTAATATACTGCATAGGGTCACTGAGGGACTTGTGGTGCACCCGAAGGTGACTGGGAGGGGAATCTGACAGTAGTTATCATTCATGACCACAGAGAATATAATCATGGCTATGGTGTAAGTACAGAGCACTTGTCAGCTGTGCTGTGAGATTTTTATTCTTTCCCCAAAGTAAACTGCTGTTGTAAGACATGAAGTGATGATAATGACCTCTTTGTCCATGTCTGGTCAGGTGCCACCCAAAGAGGAAGGAGATAGAAACTGAGTGCAAGGTCTATACCACTTGCCCTGGATGCCAGAGTACCTTTAAATCTGGTCCCTCACAGCCTGTATTTGGAAGCTTGCAGAGGCACAGTTCACCTGAATGTGTGCATATGGGAGGAAACGAATCTGATCTCCAAGAACTTCAGGAAGAGATTAGAAAAACTGTTTCACATCTGACAGAGAGCCTGGATAGCCAGTTTTAAGAAAACAAACTCCAGTTTTGGAATCAACAGAACTCAGAAATCAACTAGGAACATATCAAAGGCTGCTAGGAGAATCAGAGAAGCTCTAGCTTGGGGCTGAATGTATCTATGGGTGATTTTTGGCCCTGAACAATCTGAAACTGAATGCCAAACATCACAGAATCACAGAATATGCTGAGCTCGGGAGGGACCCACAAGGATCATTAAGTCCAACTCCTGGCCCTGCACAGGACCATCCCCAAGAGTCGCACCATGTGCCCGACTGGGAGTTGGTCATTCTCACAGTCATGGTCCTGCAGCTCTGGGCACTGAGACCCCCTTGGACTGTAATCCATGTTGAAGAGAAAGGCAGAGAAAGTGTTAAACACCTCTTCCTTGTCTCCGTCCCCTTTTGTGAGGTGACCATCCTCATCCTGTAACAGGCCAATGGTACTTCTATATTGCTTATTGCCATTAATATATTTGAAAAAACTCTTTTTATTGTCCCCCACAGTTCTGGCCAGCTTCAACTTCAGTTGAGCTTTGGCTGCACAGATTTTCTCCCTACACCAGCAAGCAGCATCTCTGCATCCTTCCCATGTCACTTGGCCTTGACTCCACTGGGCATACACCTCCCTTTTTGCCTTATTTCCAAGACAAGATTCCTGTTCAGCCAAGCTGGCCTTTTGCCTCATCTGCTTGACTTCTGACATTTGCTCTTGAGGCCTTAAGGAAAAACTGATGAAAACCCACACCAAGCTGAGGCACTCCTTGTAATTGTTCTAATTAATCTGTACAAAGGAAGTACAGAGTGACAACTCAACAATGAAATTTCCTTTTATTAGAAGCTATATAAATTTATAGATAAATACAATCCTTAATCCATAGATATGACATTTTGAAATGAAATGTTTGCATCTATTTATTCCAAAATAAAATTAAAAAACTTCATGCTAATACCTTAATTTCTCCTTCTGATAAATTTCAGACATCCTGTCAAATAAAGAAGGGAGCTCTTTTTCACATTATGGTATTTGAAATAATATAAACTTGTACATAAAATTATTACTGCCATCATCAGTTTACAATTTACTGGAAATCTTAGCAATGCATTGACTATTTTCTTTTAGAAAATAGAATCTCTTCTCATATCTTTTGAATGCTGTGATTTCATAAGCTAAAAGGTAAAATGAGGTTAAAATGTACTCACTTATTTTACTTCTCACTTCATTTAGTTTTTCGCCAAGGCATTTAACTTCAGCAAACCTGTCAATGCAAGTATAATCATAAGGAATTATTCTAAAGAACAACTAGTGAAACTAGTGGATCACAATAAAATACGGAATTACTCAGTACTACTTTTTGATTTGTAAGTAGAAGTAATTGGAAACAATTTTCCATTAGGAAAGATTATCTGGTCCAAGAGAAACCTTTCTGAAAGAAACCATGCAACAGATAAGTTTACTAGACAGACAAAACCAGTGTATTTGACTTTTTAAAAACTATGTTAACTCTAATGACTGGATTCTCTTAAATATTCTTACTACACCACAGTATTATTCTTAATATGTTACTTTACTTACAGTGTTTTAACCAACAGTGATATAAAAGTAAAACTAAAAAAAAAACCTCAAGCAAATTAAAACAAAATGATTGAAAATATTAGAACTGCTCACTATGAAATTTCAAATTTCAGCCTGTAATTAGCATATTGCTGATGAACACTGTGCTGTGTGGAAATATACACCCCAATCACTTAGAAACCTCTCAAACAGAAAATGTGAGAAAACTAAATGATGCTGTTCTATAGATAGCCACTAAGTGAATGCAGACTTTCAGTTGCTCAAATAGCAACACACATGAAGATATGCAAATAGCAAGCAAGAAGCAGACTGAGAAGGATGGAAATGAATGAATGAATCAGTCTTTGGAAACTCTCTTTTTCTAGAATGCAAATAGCTTGACCTCAAATCAAAACTGGAAATGAGTGGGAAATTCCCTCCAGGTATGTTTATAAATGAGTTTACTGACCACTTCCTCATTATATTTAAATAACCAAATCTTCACATGATACATAAAATATTCTAACGATCAGCAGTTTTTTTTTTTTTTTAGCTTGCAACAGCTCACTGTCTGTCTTGCTCCTAAGGAAATGTGTCATATCTAAATGTATTCTTAAAAACTAGCTATCTACCAAGCCTTAAAAATTTATATTCTCTACATTTCTTACAGTCTTGATGTCTACTCCTTTTGTGCTTTTCTTCTGTTGGTTTTCTGATGTTTCACGGTAGTTACTGTCATAATTATTCTCTTACACTTATTTAATTTGGTACTATATCAAACTGTTTAGGACAAATCAAGTTTAGGACATATCAGGTTTTCAAATGCCAAATATATTGTGCTGTAAAAATAATGACAGTCAATTCAATGTACAGTGGTAAAGTCCAAGGAGTCACTGAAAGAACCGAGGCTTTTTCAAGGAAATATCAATTGTAATAGTCTAAACAGTAATAGTTTAACATTTAGAAAGTTGATTTGCTGCACTGTGACATTTGTTGTAGGACATTAAGATTGACACGAAATTCTGAGTTGTTACTTGGACATGTACAAGTGGAACCTTGCAGAATGTGGAGGTAGAACTCAATTGTTAAGCAAGACTATGGCTGATCTGGAAGAGTCTTGGTCTAGACAAAGTAACTGAAGAAATCCACAGATTGTACTTCTGTCTAACTCCAATAATTGCAAAATAGAGTAAAGAAATATAAATTCTCCCTGGAGAGGTGGGGTTTGAAAAATTGCCCCTTCTCAACTAGTCAAATTCCCTGTAAAACTGGAATGAGTTGGAATTTCAGGTGCCTTTATTGGTATCTGCTCACGAACATATGCTTTCAAAGGTGAATTCGACAAGACTAAATGGTTGGAGTTGGAGGGTTCCTCAACACTTACTCTTCCTTACAGAGAGAAGGCAGGAGACTTTGATGCATCTGTGAGACTTTATATAAGCTTATTCTGCTGGTTTTGACTTAGAGTCCCAAGCAGGCATTGAAGAGTGTGTAAATGTCAAAGGGAAGAAACCCTAAAGTACCTCCTCTTTCTTCCCCTCAGGTCCCATGAACCAAATAGCAAGTTCCTCAATAACTTAATAATTCTTGAGGCAAATCTCATGTTGACTATTAACTTTGATTCATGTTCACAGAGAGATTTATCTGGACAAGTTGAAGCCATCTATCTATCCAAGCCTGATTCACAGACTACTGCCAATAGTTGAATGAATCATGCATATGTTTCTCAAACACCACAGTTTATAAACTAGCATAATAACATAAACCAAAATTTGGCATTAATGTATGACAGTCCAATGGATTCCATCTGTGACTATGAATCACAGTCTAACAAAATAAACCAGGTAAAGACGTAATATTTGACTAAAATACTGAAAGGTAAAAAGCTATTTCTGCTCCTCCTCTAATTAAAAAAAGGTGGTATTATCTAATATTAAGCTGATATTGCTATGAATATTGATGAGTGAACAATTATATATTGTAAGCTGAAAAAACTTTCTATGTATCTTACGTGGACACCACTTAACAGAAAGGCTGAGGTTGCCAAATCATGGCTTCTATTACCTACAAGATAAATACTCCATGATGAAACCCCAAAGTGAATTTCACCACTGATTTCAGTGGAACAAGCATTTTTGGCAAAGATTTCACTCTTTGAATGCAAGTGCCAGTAATTTAGAAATGAACTTCTTGAAAAACAAATCTCTAACTCATAATGTAAACCAAGACAAACTCAGAGGCTGTCTAATGAGACAGTGGAGACATTTAGTGAATTAAATGAACATTCACTCATTTTTAATTATTAGAAATTACAACAACAAACGACCTAAGTGAAACTCATCCTTTCCATGAAACTTGCCCATAGGTATTGAAAAAACAAGTTAGTTGCTAACCAGCTGAAACACAGAAAGCAAGGAAACAAGAAAATGGAAAATATTAGTGGAGAACAACAAAATGGAAACTAGATTTACATCACATCTGTAAGCTCAGTAGAATTTTACTACTGGAAATATTGACTAAGATGGGACTTAAAAGCTTTGTGCAAGATGCAGTATTACACTGGAGTGCCTCAGCTGGGAAGATTTTTTTATAGTATATTTCACCAGAAAATGAGATGTATTTTCTCCTCCTCAGAGAAACAATCCTAAGAGAACATGGTTACATTGAGAAATAGGATGTTATTAAGTTCTCTGGAAGTCAAGTATAGGAAGACCAAACTGCAGAAATCTGATTCTGTCTGGGCATAAACACACGGTTTTTGGTGTTGGGTTTTTGTTGTTGTGTGGTTTTTTGTTTGTTTGTGTTTTTTGTTTTGTTTTGTTTTTGTTTTTTTTTTTAAGTAGGGAAGAAGTTATTAATGTACAGAAGAAAAATAAAAAATAATTGTTTTGTATTAATTGTAAAGTAAGCTGTAAAGGTCACCTTTCTTATCTTATGAAGGTACTCCTCATAGGCAACTGTCCTAATTGGATAGCTTGAACCTATTTTCTTTCACTTTAACAGTAATGAGCTTCAGAAAGAAATTATCCTTAAGCATATCAGACTTCCCACCTTTTAAATCCAGAGACAGTACTGAGTTAAAATACTAAGCTACTGCCTCTGTGAAGAGCTCTGAAGCAGAAGGTGAAAAGCTTTATTCAAAACCAGATTTTTTTCTTTTATATATTTTTATATATATATATTAACAAAACAAATGTTTTCAGTATTTGATTTAATCAATTGACTGCTTTTGAGTATTTATACAAGGGTAGTTACAGAAAAAAATACAAGTATGTTGTATATGTATGACTATATGTAGTCACATCTATCTGAATAATTTCACAGCCCAAGCAACAGTTGTGACCTTCACAGTGAAACTTCCAATTGGGCTCACTGACAGTTCTCCATTCATTTAAGAATGACAAGGGGCAATGGTTTTAAACTAAAAGACCGTAGATTTAGACTAGGTATAAGGAAAAATTTTTTACAATGAGGGTGGTAAAACACTGGAACAGGTTGTCCAGAGTGGTGGTGGATGCCCCATCCCTGGAAACACTCAAAATCAGGCTTGACAAGGTTCTGAGCAAGTTGATCTAGTTGAAAATATCCCTGCTCATTGCAGAAGGGTTGGACTAGATGACCTTTAAAGGTTCCTTTCTATCCTCTATGATAATTAGCAAACCAAGAAAATCTCCCCCAAATACCCAAAGGAAAAATAAGACAGCTAAAAATAAGTAATTTGTGAGCCAAATACTGTTTGTGGTATGACAGAAGTGGTTATGCAACTATAAACAAAATTATTAACATGAGAGGCCTACATATAAAGGGAAGTAATGGTAACTTTTAAACATGTGGTGTCCACACTCTTCTTCCTGTGCAATTTGAACACTGGCTGGGTAACAGAACTCTTGTGTAACTGGTAGTTCAGATCCTGCATTCCAAATTACAGACTGGACTTGATGTAAATCCATTCTAATGAACTTGGTAAACTTGGAGCTATAAGCATTTTTGCTAAAAATGTCTGCAAATGGCAGAGGGAAACTTTTACTCCAGAGTATCAACATTCACATTAGCACTGATTTCAACAATCAGCTGATGCCTATTAGAGAAGGGTTACCCAAGGCATTAGTTTGAATCTCTTTGTCCTTTAGGGAAGGCAAATCTGTCATCAAACTTTGTGGATTCTGCCCATCTCTATTATATGTTCGGAAACCAGAAGGAAATACTGGTTTGCTTCATAGTAATGTAGAGCATGGCTCAGAACTGTGTTGCTGTCATTATCATGCTGTGACCATGAAGTGTTCTGCTCAATAAACTGCAACATCAGAAACTACTCATTTATGAAGACATGATGCAGTGATGTGGCATCATCTGATATATTGATCAGAAGAAAGACATTACTAAACATCCAGTTTACAGGGATAAATTCTTACACACATCTAATACCTCATCAATTTGTGTTCCTGTAGCTGAGTTATAGGTCCAGGTAGAAAGTTAATCAGTTCAGAAGAGTGTTAAACAGCAAGAACTTTAATAAGTCACATAGATGTAGAGATCACTTCTTGCCTCCCTTTCACCAAAGTAAATGAGTATTAAACTTAGTAACTCTGAAAACAAAGTCTTTCATGCCTATTAAGAGAGAAAACTGTGTCAAAGAAAGCAGAAGAAAGTAGGAGAAAGCTGGAGGAGAAAAATCCAGACCAGAAAAAAAAAAAAACCAAAACAGGAAAAAAACTCCAAGCAACTGTTAGAGGACTTGCTAGTTAAAAGGATAGATTGAGAGATCCGCTTTTGGCATCTGCAATCTCAAACCTGTATATTTCTTTTGCAGTACAAGGGGAGTTAGCACTTGAAAACTGATACTGAAACAGTACTGTTATTCAGTCAACATGGACAAGTGTTGGTGGTTTAGCTTGTGAGATGTTTAAAATCTGCTGTATGAAAACATGTTTTCAATGTTTTTCCATTCTCACCATCTTCACCACATTTTGAAGTGTTTTGCCAGCATTAGCAACAAATGTGGAGGAGGAAAGTATTATTTCTGTTTGCGAATGCAAAACTGGCAGAGAGAAGTTAAAATCACTTGGCAAAAAAGTTAGGAACAACAGACAGATGCATATGTTAAACATCTCCTAGCTTACTATCCAACTCAGTGTCAAAGCCAGTAAAACATTTTTGACAATGGAAATCGCAGTAATTGATTCAGTCACATGCATTTTACTTCCTCTAAATAATTCTTGATTGTGAATGCCATTGCCACATTGCTTCAACATGGCTATGAGGATGAATAAAACCAGTGGAAATATGCACTCAGATTCCTCATGCCTCTTTCATATTCCATCCAGACTTCTATTCTCTTACTACTCAGTGCCTTCTGAATATGAAATGTCCTAAGTAAGAAAAGGTAAAGTTTCTGTACCAAGTTCTGTACCCAGAAGTCTGGGATGTCTGGTATAAAATTATGTTCCTATCTAGACTGATAATGAACTCTCAGATGTCTTCCTCCAGCTGTATTTTGCTGTGACACTCACCTCTGTTTCAGAAGCTGTTTGTTGTCCTCAATGGTTATACTGTCAGCATGGTCCCGCTTGAAAACTTCAAAAGCTTCCTGACAGCCAAGTGACATCTTTCCTCCTGCCACAAGGTAAAAAAGAATTACTTCACAGTCATCAAAAGACAGACATTTTGCACTTAATTAAATCCTATTTAGACAAACACAACAAGTCAGCCCAGGGTCTTAAAGCACAAAGAAGATGAAAGTTTAGTTTTCCACCAACGGGAAAGCATTTTTGACAAAAGATTTCTATTATCTGACAAATTAATTTTGTTTCACCTAACTTCTCTAAAGTCTGAAAGCTTGAGGTGTATAATTTCTCAAGATAACTTAAAATGTTCATGTGAAATATTCTTAAGTGTGAGCCAGAGGTATTTTCACAACAGCAAAACTCAATTTGCCTCTGTATTTCTTTCATCTGTTTCACATTGCACCCTCATCATAACTTGAATATTTTCAGTATCTCTGGAAGAAGAAAATTCAGGCTTCTTTTAATTATGCATTAGTGAATATTTTTCATACCCTTTTATGTGAAGCAGGAATTCTACCTACAGAAGTGGTTGGTTCCTGCCTTTTTACATTTCCAACAGAATGTTTGTTTCCTTTTGTGCACCAGAATGTCAAGACTTATTTGGCCTTCAAATATTTTTAGAAATCACTGTAGAAAAGTATTAGTCTCTATAATTTATCAGTTCTCATTTGTTAGATGATCTAAGATCCAAGTAAGATATCATGCATTTGCATTAACATTAACAAAAACATTCAAAGGCGTAAGGAGAATGAAAGATCATGCCAGCACCTGTGTTATCTATCAGCTGTACATGTATGTCATTATATAAGCATGGAGAAACACTTAAATAAATTATAGTAATGAAGATAGCTCAGGAGCAAAAAGGACTCTAACACTCAAACAGTGTGAAAAATGCAATATAGCTCCACCCCTAATTCAACCTCAAAGTTGCAACTTAAACATCAAAAATTTTATTCCTTAAACTGGAATTTGATTCTCCATCATTTTTTTCACTTCTGAAGTCTTTCTTTTGTTCTACTCACAAGTCTGCCTTCCTGCTCCAGATCTACCAGGACTCCCAAACGCACTGTGAACAAGAACTATAAAATTTCCTAGGATTTCCACTGTGCAAGTGCTTTCTATATATTTTATGCCAATGGACCAGCATTACATACAAAACATATGTATGCATGTAGGATGGTTATTTTTCAGGCTACCTGCTTTGCAAGTCTGGTGTAAGGGTTTTCTCCTTCTCCAAAGTTTCTCCTGCTTTCTTTAAAACAATTTTCTCACTTAACAGGGATGAAAGACGTTGTTTTCAGAGTCACAGAGTCCTGTACTCATTTACTTCAGTGAAACTGAAGCAAAAAATAGGCAAAACATACCTAAACAGATTGGGATGTGCAATACTGGGATGTTACCCCTTATTGGGGTCTAGCTCCAAAAGCTGCATTCTAAAGTCACTCTAAATATGTTTCGCTAAACCTCATCACACTTATAATATCAGGACAATTTCCCATTGACTGCAGTGAGATGTAAGATACTGTTTACAGTGAGGGCTGGTAAAAAAACTAGGACTCAGAGTTCAATGATCAGTAAAAGTTTAAAAAATTTATTCAAAATACAGAGAAAAATTTGCCACTGTTTCAGTCAAAAGAATCAGCACATCTGTTACTAATTCAAAAATTTTGAGTTGAAAATAGAACCACCAGGAATGTTTGAATGGCAAAGCATGCAGAAATGCTCCACCCTTTTTGAATAAGAAAATCAAAGAAAGATACAGTGCAGTCTTTACTGTTGTGTGATCCAAAAGAGCAAGAGGATTTAGGAAAATATATTTTTCTGTGGTGATGACCTGAGAATATAATGTTCATGTTTCATGCTTGCCTTGAAGAAAAACAGGCAGCTTTGCAAGCAGAATTTTGTAGCACATTCATCCCATCACTAGCACTAATTTTAACATGCAGCCTGATTTGACCCTCTAGAATTGCTTTTGTTGCAGAAAAAGTTTGTATTAAGTGCAGGAAGCCTGGAAAAAATTCATGATCAAGTCTAAAATAAACAATGAATACTCTTACTCATGAGTAAGACTGCAATGTAAAGTATTTAACTCTTCCGGCAATGAGAGTAGAAGTAAAAACAGTAAAGTAAGTTTGGAAAACAAAACTATTACACTGATTATTGCTACTGCCTGGCAGAAAAACATCAACCAAAATTAAAGGTAACCTGATAATCATTTTCCAGCACTAAATTAAGAGACAGCAGATTTGTACAGCCAAACAAAGCACACAAAAATAGATCCCCAGGACTCCTGGGAAGGGGAAATTTTCTGGTTTATGCAGTTCATTTTAAGAAAATAGAGAAACATATGAAGTAGTAAACAATACTATTCTGAAAATGATATAAAAGGAAAGCAACTTAAAAAGGAACATTGTGATTGTATCTCAGCATAATATAAACATAAAACAGCTACAGAAAAATGTTGCAGCCAGTGGGTAATGACAAAAACGTTTAGGATGATAATAAGGGAAGACAGCAATGTTAATACTAGTAAAAGACTGCAAGGGACACTGGAAGCTTGATGGAGCGGTTGTGTTTTCATTCTGCTCAGTAATGAAGATTATCGCTTCTCCATGGTTGATGTGGTATCTTCAGTCATGCTGTTTACATTTCCTTAAATATCCTTTAATTTCATAAAGTAGCCTTACCTTCTTTCAAATGGCCTCCAAGTGCCAAGGTGCATTAACATTATTGGTATGCTGTTTCTCCGGGGCTTAATTCCAAAAAAAAACCCTATATATTCTTTTAAACCAAGGTGCTATCAAATTTCTGTTTTTGTCTAGCTGTAAATCGGATCTATGTACAGATATATATACATGATATGAATAAAAGCAGAATTAGGAGAAGAAACCATTGACGAGGAGAAATTTTTGGCAAGCTAGTGGAACAGTTCAGCAAAAACTGTTAGAGAAAACAATTTCTTTCACTCTTACAAGGCAAACAATTTCCCTTCTCCTTCTTTAGAAACATAGCATGGGGTTGCAAAATAAATATTTGAAAATTCTTATCTAAGGAAGAACCAGGAAACACATGTCATCAAGTTATTACAATGTGAACTGGAATAATCATTACCATAAAAATAATTCAGATGATTGGAAAAAGCATAAAAATTTCTTGCAATCACCGTCATGAAACCCCAGTTGACAGGATTGCATAAAAGAGTGATAAATTTTGTATCAACTTTATTTTAATGATACCTTTCCTGTTAGGTTGTGTAGTTTGGCTTTAATATTAAAACACAAGTATGCCCAAGTCACGCAATGTGAAATTCACAGCAAACCCATCATTATTTACAGCAAATTCACACTGCTGAAATTTTGGTAAAATTCAGGTTCACTTAACATCCCGAGTTTGTATGTTTAAGAATGTTCTCATTGAAGGTTTGATTTCAGTCTGTACTCCTATTCAGTGAACTCTCCCAACCTTCACATTAACCAAAAAGCTCCGGTTCAATAGGCTCCTCTCCTGAAATGTGCAAATTACAGCTGTCTCACTGAACTTGGGTAAGTCAACAGGATGGCAATTAAGGCTCAAGCTCTGAACTAGAGCAAGAAGATCTGAAATGACCAAGAAATAGAAAGCTTGTTGTAGTATTGATAATGAGCTAAATTTTTGAGACCAGTAATAATTCAAAATACACTGAGCAAAAATGTAATAAGGCTTTTGGATGTTGCTGATTACTTTTTAAGGTAAGAGAAGATCAAAGTGATTTAAATACTCCGTTGCATGACTACAGCAGGTAGAAGCATAGCAGCAAAGACCCTGGCAGGTATTAAGCACCCTATTCTAACTAATTTAGAGATAATTTTTTCTATGCTGTTACATATACAGATGCTATTTACAGACATCCTAAACACCAAATGTTAAGTTTAAAGGAACTTTAAAGTCAAAGGAACAGAGAAATTATATGGCTGAATGCTATTTTTAAGTTAAATGGTATCCACTGCGATTACTTGGGGGCTACATTGATTAGGTAAGAGCATGCAAGTGGATAAACATAGACTTTATTTTGTTGCCACAAGTGATTAAACACTGTTGTACATATTTAAATGACCACACTGATTTTTAAATTTATCCGACACTGACAAATCCTATTGCAGCTTGTATTAGTGATCACAGTTTAAAAGTACTGGGCAATTTCAAAGTACTCTATTTTAGTGCTGTGCCTTTTTTTTTGTTTGTAAATTCTTTACAGATTTCAAGACTGCTCAATCTGGAAATGGCACTTCCAGTCCTGAGTCTGGTCAGCTTCTGTTTTTTGGTTTGTTTGTTGAAAAAGGTTTTATTGCTCAGAGGGCGAAGGCCTTCATAAAGTTTAATGCATGAAACCCACAGAAAAAAATTACGTTGGTCTTCAGTTAGGTCTGGAAAAATATGTAAAACAATAGCATGGAATTGATATCTTCTCTGTCTGAAAGCAGAACCACAGTGTCTCCTCACAATCCCACCTTGTAACCAGATTTTGTTCCTGGTATATGAGAGCTCTGAAGGGTTTTCAGCAGCCCTCATACAAGAGGATGCCAGTGCAATCCACTAAAAGAATTGGAAACAACACTCCAGAAGAGAAGAATTAAGATTGCGAGTTGAGCTGTTCTGAGGGAGGAACATTAAGACTGTTGACAAAAGCAAACTCTTGGGAATAGCTGTTCAGACCATGTATTCTGATGAGAAAGGCATCTGTCCACATATCTGCCCATATATCTGTTTTGCAGAAACTACATTTTCACAGAAAAAGACTTTGTCTTTCAATTTCTACTAAGTGCTCTATTGAACAAGAATTGTCAGCTCTTCCACTGAAATCATTACAAGCAAAAAGTCCCCTTGGCTCAAGTAAAGCTCTCATGTGAGGGTTGTCTGAAGAATTTCAGGATAGCAACTAGAGTGAATTGTGAGTTTTCATGCTATGAAGACTGTCAGTCTGTTTGTGTTACTATGTATTTCCACTTATTATCAAATGAGAACAAAAGAACTGTGAAAACTTCCAAATGAAACTAAAGACAAATTATTTGG